CCATCAGTGATCTTAAGATCTTACAACTGATCGTGATTGCGCATTCGTTGGTTATGAAAAGTTTTAATACACACTAAATCCAGATGGTCCAGATATTACTATTCCTGAAATTAAAAAATCAAATAAGGACCATCAGTAATTATGAGATTTTAGAACAGTATTTTTTCATTTTTTTCTGAGAGGATTCTTTTACACAAGATCACAACGACAACCCCTATAGTTCCTAGCTTTTTACATAAAATAGATGGAAGCTGCTAGAATACATTCAGCATGTCTCTCTTTAAAAAGTAACAAATTTTTCAATCTCTCTATTAAACTTTGCGAAATTGAATCAAAGTCGGGTGTCGGTAGAAAAGTCTCGAATACTCGAATGATCTTGTTGACTTTCTATTAGGGTTCTATAAATCGACTTTCGAATAATCGAACAATCGACTTTTTGTCGAAAAAAGTCGAAAAGTCGAAGTCGACTATTTTGTTCCAAAAAAGTCGATAACTCGACTATCGTCTATGAAAAAAGTCGAAAAGTCGACTTTGTAAATAAAAGTCGAAAAAAGTCGAAAAGTCAAAAAATCGGAAAGTCGAAAAAAGTTGAAAAGTCGAAAAAAGTCGATAAGTCGAAAAAAGTCGAAAAGTCGAAAAAAGTCGAAAAGAGTCGAAAATTTTAAAAAAGTGGAAAAGAAGTCAAAACTCTAAAATAGTCGGAAAAACTCTCGAAAAAAGTAAAAAGTAGTCGAAAATAGTCGAAAAAGAAAAAAAAAAAGAACGAAAAATCGAAAATAGTCGAAAAGTCGAAAAAAAAAAAAAAAAAAAGTCAAAAAGTCGAAAAGTCGGAAAAAGTCGAAAAGGTCGAAAAAGTCGAAAAAAGTCGAAAAAGTCGAAAAAGGTCGAGAAAAGTCGAAAAAGTCGAAAAAAGTCGGAAAAAGAAAAAAGTCGATAAAAGTCGAAAAGTCGAAAATTTTAAAAAAGTGGAAAAAGGCCAAAAACTCTAAAATAGTCGGAAAAACTCGAAAAAAAGTAAAAAAATAGTCGAAAAAGTCGAAATAAATAGAAAATAGTCAAAAAGTCGTAAAAAATCAAAAAGTCGAAGTCGGAAAAGTCGGAAAAAAGTCGAAAAAGTAAAACGAAAAGTCGGAAAAAGTCGACCATTTATAAAATACTAAAAGTCGAAAAGTCTAAAAGTCGACTTTTAAATAAATGAAAAAGGTCGAAAAGTCGAAAAATCGACATTTCATAAGATGGAAAAAGTCGAAAGGTCGAAAAGTCGACTTTTAACTAAATGCAAAAAGTCGAAAAGTCGACTTTTCGTTTCAACTATAGAACCCTACTTTCTATCAACTAAGATGAAGTTATAACACAGAACCAGAGTAATGCCAAGAGTAAAGCGTAAGGTTACTAAGAAATAACTGTTTGAAATTACAAATTTAAAGTGTGTAGGGTATAATTGACTTTAAGTTTAATAAATTATTTTCTTTGTACACTCACAAAGTAAATTTTCGTACAACTGTCATCATCATCTTGTTGCTGGTGTGTGAATGTGTGTAATTTGATCTTTCATATATGCCCGAGATAAAATTGAAGACATATTTTGCACTTAATTGAATTTGTAATATTTTGTGGGGAATTCTCTAATAAAAAAATGTTCACATTTCAAACTTCATTGAATAGTTGCTATATTTAATACTTGTGATTTCTAATTCGCAATAACTATAAAATAATTACATTAACATTTAATTGCAGTAATAATAATGACTTTTCAATTCAATTAAAAAAAACTTTCAAACCTTAACGATTTGTTAGGAATACAAGTAAGGAGTTGCATTTCTTTTTACTTCGTATATATAAAAAACTATGTCAAAATATTGTTAATATCGAAACATTTTGAACACTAAAACTCGTCTATGTTCTAAACAATGTCCGTATTGTGCAAGGGAAAGCTCAGATCTTTCTATAACAATAAGAAATGTATCAACTTTTTGCTGCAATTTGGATCTTAGCCATTTTATTGATATTCACTTTTCTATCAACCTATAACTTACCTTCTTTTACCATGTATTTCCAATTCATCATCGCTCTCCTCCTCTTCGGGTTTCTCACATTGAATAGTTGTGACATTTTTTTCCGGTACACTAAATGTAACCGAACCGGAAATATCATCAATAACCTGAAAATTATGAAACAAATACACAATTAGCTAAATAAGCCACCATTTTCTTTTTTACAAAATTATATATCTTTTCATCTTTCTCTCTCTCTCTTTCATACTTTATGATATTCGTATAAATACAATTGCACTATATCTTCAAAATGAACACGCGTAGTATTGAACATTTAAGAAATTACAGAATTACAAATTTCAAACTTTAATTTTAAAACAAAACAGAACACAACTAGATGTTATCACTTTAAAGATCTAAATATAACTGAACCCTTGGGCAGGGCATAAACATACATATTTCTGTCCTTTCTAAACCTTTAGAGAAATTTAAAGAAGAGAGGCAAGCAGGTAGCGGTTTTTCTCTTTTTCACCAGACAACATCTTGTGCTAAAGTAATACATGAAGTTTTAAAAAATGTTGCTAGATTTTTCCAGTATATTCTTAGTAAAATAACTAATTTACCTGTTTAATAGCATTAAATTAGCATTTTGTCGTGATAAATTTCAAATAATTATACGAAACAAAAATTGCTCCTATGATAAAATTACCTGATTTTGCAAAAAATTTTCATTTATGAAATGTATTTCCCCTGTGGAAAGCGGAAAATTCCCTCTTTTTTAATGAAATTTATTGCGTCTTATTATTTTCTATAAATTTTATGAACAATTACATCTCTTTCATTTTTTCTCTAAATTATGTTAAACTTATGCTCAATCTCAAATAATATTTTATAAAGTTTTTAAGGGATAGAATGAAATAGCATTATATCTTAATATCTTTTACTCCTGCCTTAAGAGAATAAGTGTTAAATCCTCTAGCTCATACTCAAAGTAGTAACATTTAGACCTTTAAAGGGTAGTTTTTGAATAAAAATTTTATATACTACTGCAGCTAAAACGAGGACAGAATATCCCTTTGTATAAACACATACATACAAGAATATTTTGAACATTTATGACATATGTCTTAGTTAAGATTTAACTTTATTAATGTCATCGAAAATGTTTTGGCATATTTAAGATTTCTCTAAAAAAAAGTATGTCTAACGTTAAGTTAGCCGAATTTTAAACCCACCAATAAGGTTAATTTTCTTCTCTTGCGTTTATATCTCTATTCTTTTTGATCTATATGATCAAGCAATGAATTGAATTGACCACAACTTAATAGCTTTAGTTTCCTCTCTTAAGGCGAGAGCTGATGATCTCTCTCATAGACATTACCGCATTACAGTTTCGTAGTGCGTTTTTTAAATCCAGACTTAACTTGCTTCCTTATAAAAATGTTGACAAAAACTCTAAGATTTTAAGCGTTATCATTAGGCAAACGTTATTCACTAGCTCTTTGATAAGGGAGGCTACTGACTCTTTCCAAATATTACAAGTTACTACGTATGACTTTGTTGGACAGAGATATAAATCTCTCTACTTATGGAGATATTGAATGAAATTACGATGCCAAAACCTTGATCTTGAAAAACTAGATAATTTCAGCTATATGATCTGGTAGCATCTGACCTATGTTTCTGACTCTAGAAGGTGGTCCAAAGCTTCTCAACCCCTTGTACCACCAGTAATCATGAGATCTATGAATGGCCCATGATTACGAATTCAATAGAAAGGAAATATACATATGAAGTTCGTTGGTTATGAGAATCAACAAGGCACATCGCTGCTGGGCGATATGTATAGGCATGAAATGGGGATTTAGTCCTTAGGCTTTATAAAACTGTAATTAGACCAATTCTTGCTTATGCTTCAATAATCTAGTGGACTGCTTTGGACAAAAAGTGCAATATCAAACAACTACAGGGAGTTTAGCGTTCATGCTGCTTGGGTATAAGTGGTGCCATGTGTACTACTTCAACCAAGGCTCTGGAAACGTTGCTAGATATTCCACCCATTGAAACTTATTTTAGATATGAGGCGGCGCCTAGACCCGAACGGCTCTTTACTTTAGGCGTACTGAGCAAAAGCGGTTATAGGACACGTCATAAATGTACTGGATACATTGGAAGGTTATACACAATCATCGGACGTTCCTGATCGCATACCAGACATAGACTATGTCGGAAACTTTGAAACGCTGATCCCAGATAGAATGATAGAATAGAGCAAATACGAGTAGGAATCCGTTGTTACACGGATGGCTCTAAATTGGGGGACAAAGTGGGTCTGGGGTTCTATATTGATGACCCAGAAACATGATTTGGTAAACCACCGATTACCTCTTAAATACTACGATTGGAAATTATCTGATTTCAAAACATTCGAGAGATCGCTTTACTATATCTTCATTGATGTCTATTAAATCAAAATAATATTCAGACTCAATAAGGATTGTATTATTTGTCGATAACAGTGATTAAAGGGCTGTAAATTCTCTCTGATTTAATCGAATATCTTTTAGAGAGTTTCAAATTTACACCGATAGTTAAGCTGCTATTAGGTATGTCTCCTAACAATGTGTCTACAACATCTATACTAGACCATGAATGCAGGGGCATCTCACAATTGAATGTCGTGTCATTCGACAATACTACTATGAATGACTGAAGAGATACGAGGAGAATTTAGGTAATAAAGTGTAGATAAATTAGGGTGTTGAAGAGATTCTTATATTGATCTCTATGGAGTCCCCACTCCTAAACGTAATACTTTGTACCATTGCAATATATTGGTTAAAGAATACGGGAACACTTTAGGAAACAGAATTTTGATATTGATCTCTGAGAGTTTCAGATAAATTAGCGAGGGAATTTGAAAGATTATGATATTGATTTCAGTGGTATCAATCTCAATAACATACAGTTAGTTTTCGAACAAACTTTGCGAATTTGGCGAAAATGCGGATTGTTATGGATGAAAAACTAATTTTCTGAAAGAGGCTAGGGGCAAATATGGACAAAGCCCGATACAATTTTGTGAATATATTTATATTTATATAATTTTCATAGCGATATTTGTGTTTATAAGTTCTTTTGGACATTCAAGTAATTTTCTGAAGGGGACTTTGTATGACTTTGCTAGGCCCGATCTTTATAAAATTTGGCAAGATATAAACATAGTTGTGCCGCTTTTTGTCGATATACAGGTATATTTAACATAATTATGAGCTCAGAAACCCATTTCCTATGGTTCTGTTGTATGGGGGCTAGGAGAAATAATAGACCGATTTTGACAATTTTCAATAGGTTTCATCCTTGGGCCAAATTTCATCCAATTATCTTGAAAGTTGCGAACTGTACCTTGCACACAAGATTTACATGGACAGCCAGCCATACGGACAAACATAGCTTAATCGAGTCAGGAAATGATTTTAAACCGATTGGTATACTTTAAGGGATATTTTTGCATTTTACAAACATCAGCACAAATCCAATATACCCTCCCCACTAAAGTGGTGTAGGGTATAAAACCACTGTAATAGGGCAATGGGTCAAGTGAGTCTACTAGTACGAATTCAAACCCCATATAGATTAGATTGGTAGCGATATCCCTTATAATTTCACAATGATTAAAAGGAGTATATACATCTTCTCCCTAAAAATCCTGTTCTGAAAAATTCTTTTTGTTTCATTTCTTTTATCACTTATTTTTACAATAAAGATCCAACAAAACCTAAAGCCGAGAATTTAATCCGACAACACCCTCATTGCTACACAAAAATGTTTTAAATTTTTTTGCAATAGAAATTATACATGGTATTAAATCTGATCATACATTTTCTTAAAAAAAAATCCGATTATTTTTTAATAATACTAAACATTTCCCAAGCATTTAAGTACCTGCCTTGTCCAAAATATTATTCACACTTTCCGAACTAGAATTATTATTGCTCACACTCTTAACACTTTCATTATTGTAAAATTTCTTTGATTTGCATTCGTATCATAAGAATAATTCGTATAATTTTTATCACCGACACACCCATGATGATTATTATGTTTAAAAATATTTACTAAAGATGCCATTTTATAATAAAAGAACAAAGGATTTGGAATATATATGCAAAATAAATCACGTGAAAGAAATTTCTTTTTATAATATTTTTTTTTTTTCGGCTGTCTTAAATACACGTTTGCAAGTCTGATGATGAACTAAAATTAAGTTTTTAAAAAGTTTAACATCAAGCTGTATATATAAAACAATGTTGTATTAATTATTTAATCATGGCACAGTGGGTTTCAATAAGTTGGTATTTGTATTTTGCATTTTTTATTATTATTTTTTTGTTATTTTAATTGGTCTTTATCTGATCAACCCTCTGGGGTTTTGAATGCTGGTTGATTTTGCTTTTTGTGTTTTGTTTTCTATTTTATTTAATTGTTACTTTTGTTATGATTACATTATAATTATTTTGTTTTGTTTTTTTATTTTTTGCTGATCAATTTTACATTTTTGTTTTTATAATTTTATTTTAATATTTTGTTTTTTTTTCTTTTGTTGCCCAATAAATAATTTGCATAGTTTATTTGACTCTACTTTTAATAGTGGAAGCTATACCTGATTTGTTATTGGGTTTGTAACATAATGATGTGGTATGAAGGGGAAGTCCCCTATTCTTAGAAATTAACTTATATTCGCTTAGAAGTCGAGCTTTCTAATCTCTTAAAACTGATAACTTTGCTGATCAAGACAAGTAGTCATCTTAGCGTAGCAGTGATCGCAATCGTGGAACTCTGTTCAGAAACCATTTAGCGATCTAGGTCATATTGATCTTTATCTCTGATCGTGAACATCACTGATCATTCATTTTGTAGCAAGATTTTTCAAATTATCGATCAAATGGGGACTTTGATCGTTACGATCGTTACGATCGTTACTCCCACCCACTGTTCACTTTTCATACAAAAATATTTTACTGTGAAAATTTATTGATCTCATTGTTTAATTACACAGATGTGTTCGTTCGTTTGTTTGTTCGATTGTCTGTGGTGTGAGAATAATCACCATTTGCCAGTTGGGGCATGACTTTAAATTGAGCAGAAGAGTGACTGATCGTGTCAA